CGCACGGCTCCGGCCACCGTGACTATGCACCCACAGATAATCGCATATCACACACGGTGTCCCCATCGGAACACAAGCACAGAGCACGGCGGCAATCTTACTCTAGAACTCACGATGGCACTCACCAGCTTGAAAATTACACCATCGAACATTCAGCTGAAACTGGTTGCATCTAGCGAGACAACTCCCACTGCGTGTCCCGCATCATCCTCTTCCTCCTTCCCCAACCCACTTCGAGCACGTGGGATCGTGATGTCTGGGCGCGGGCGGGCCACGCAGCAACCGTCATGCCCTACGAGCGGCTCGATCCAGCCGAGCGCGAGCCACATAACACTCGCGATGCATCGCTGTAGCCAAGCGCGAGCACGAGCAATCGGGATGTCCTACTTTAGGCAAACACGAGCCACTGCGCCAACTCCGCAAGCTCAGCATCAACGATTTCATCACCTAGAACGCTCGAGCCAGTGCCGCTGCGAGACAGGCCAATGGGAGGCGTACCGCCAGCAGCTTGAGGCGAAGGCGGCGACGACGGGCTCTCGAGGATCCTACGGGGCACCATCGGGCTGTAGTTCGGGTCTGTGGTCTTCTTGCTGAGCCTGATGCGCTTCGGAGTTGGAGTCGAGGTATCCGAACCAGTGCCGACGTCAGTCGAACCGCCCATGCGGCTCGGGGGGGCGGCCGTCGATTCTGAGTCGCATTCTACCTCGGTCGGAGCGGTTGGCGTCGAGCTCGCGTCGTCACTCCTAGGGGGGGGGGGGCTCGTGGATACGAGACGTGCTTCGGTGAGGGCACCAGGCGTTGGTCACGAACGGCGACGGCGATGGTGCGACAATCCATACGTGCATTGCGGTGCAGCTCGGCGTAATTGCATATGATGGTGATGGCTATGTTGATGTTATGGTGGTGGTATCGGTGTGGCCCTCAGCTCGGCGCCCCCCCATCGAGGCACTTCGCGTTTCCCAAGGGCGCCCCGTGTCCTGAAGGCGCGGCGGACCCCGCGGCGCTCGAAAAACCCATCCAGCGTGTGAGGGAGTTTCTGCTGGAAGATTTGCAGCGCGACCTCGGCAAACTTTGCGATGAAACCATCCGAGAACAACGAGTGGTCGAACCCGACGCTGGCGCTGCACGGAGGGTCACGGGGGTCCTCTTCGTCACGAGGATGGAAACGAGGATGGAGGGGTGTGGGGGCGATGATGGCGAGGACAAGGGGGGAGTGATACGGAGGAGGAGGAAGATGAGAGGAGGGGGAGGCGGATCAGAGGAGGAGGAGGAAGATGAGGAGAGGAGGATGATGAGGACGAGGAGGAGGATGAGACTGACGAAAGGTGAGGGGGGAACAGGACGATGAGGATGAGGATGAGAGGGCTCTGCGGCGAAGGCCGCATCCTTCAGCAGGCGCACGAAGAAGTGGTGGCTGGCGGCGCACTCCACGGGCCTGCGGAGCCGATCGTCGTCGTCGTCGGTGCTGAACGCGGTGAACTTGATGGTCGCCACCGCGCGCGCGAAGTCCTTGATGGGGCCGTACTGCCACAAGAGCGTGCCAGGCTTGCACGAGAGGCACACCTCCGCCCCCCGCAGCCAACACACCAATGCAATGACCATCGTGTGATCGGCCACCTGGTTAGCTGCCTTGACATGGGCCTTTGCCACGTTGCCAGCAGGGCACATGCCGTGGCGCCCTGTCCCAGGGCGGCCGATGTGCGTCCACGTGTCGGGCTGCATGGTCAGCCACACCGTGCCGCGCTGGCGGAGGCGCATGGCCCACGGGAGCGCCATGCGCATGCCCTCGCGCTCGTGCACCCTGGTGGTCGGCGAGAACCCGTCGTACGAGAAGCCGTTGAGCCCGAGGTCGTGCAGCGCGTGACTCACACGGTGCGCGCCGTTGTTGCTGCCGAAGAATTGAAGAGCGTGGAATGTCCGCTCCTGCGGATGCCCATGCTCGTGGTGGACTAAGCTGAGGAGGGGCATGAAGTTCGAGAACATTCCAAACGACGGCGCGTTCGGGGAGCGTTGGATCTCCGCCCGCCGCGACGCCGCGAACGACTCCTTCAGAGCCCTCGTCATGGCCGAGGCGTCCATGGCGCCGCCTCGGAATGCACGGACAGGGCCCCGCTGAAACTGCTTGCCAACATGGCTGCGGAAACATACATATGATGTTGATGAGTCGACTGGTGGCTGCTGGAGGAGGGTGATGAGGGGGCGCTGCATGGTGAGGTCGTGTGGGAGGGCGGAGTGGAGGAGGGTAAGGAGGTTGAGGAGTTGGAGGAGTTCGGGGAGTTGGAGGAGTTGGATGTGAGGATGCATAGTCATCCAATTCCCCCGTCCACTATGCATCATCCAACTCCTCCAACTCCCCCAACTCCTCAACCCCCCCGTCCTCTCTCCACATATGTCCGCTCCCCCCTTCATCCGTCCTCCACCTGTTCCCCCCGCCCCGTATCTTCCCCATCCTGTTCCTCCCCAGTGTCAAGTTCGGCTGTACTGAGTACCCGCCTCTGTTTCGTAGTCCTACCCGTAGTCCTACCCGTAGCCTCCTCGTCATCAGCTTTCATATGCCTATGTAATCACATATCTCATCCACTACATCATCCATCTCATCCACCTCTCATGTCCATTACGCTCATCTCTTATTTGTCCCACCCCCACTCAAGACCCTGCCCCTGCCGCTCGCTCCCCGTGCCCCTAGGGCGGGCGGGCGTCCTTCAAGTCGCCGTCGTCTGTGATGGCACGCTGCTGGTGATCGTGGTGCTGCTCATGGTCGTGGTGCTGCTGGTCATGGTCGTAGTACTTCTGGCCCTCGTCGTAGTACTGCTGGTCCTCGTCGTAGTGCTGCTGGTCCTCGTCGTAGTACTGCTGGCCCTCCTTGTAGTACTGCTGGCCCTTCTTGGAGCACTGCTGGTGGTCGTGCCAGTGCTGCTGGCCCTTGTTGTAGTACTGCTGGTCGCGCTGGTGCTGCTGGCCCGTCTTGTAGTGCTGCTGGGCGTGCTTGTGCTGCTGGCCGCGCCAGTGCTGCTGGTTCCCGTCGGAGTCGCCAGCGTCGCCGTCCGCCGATTCGTCCACGCCGAGGGACCAGATGATGTCCGCCAGCTTGAGCGCCTGCAGCCGCGAGCACCTGCTGTAGGCCTGGAAGCTCAGGAGCTGTTTATGGTTTGTTATCCTCCTCCCCCTCCGTCGCCGTCTCCTCAGACTCATCCTCACTATGCTCCTCCACCTCCTCATGCGTCGCTCTCTCGCTATCACCCCGTCGTGATCATCATCATGTCACCCGACGTCATCCTCATGCATCCGCTGTTCACCTCCACCCACTTCCCCCCTCCTCCCAAGATGCGTTTACCTTAGGCATGGGGAACACATCCTATATGATTTTTGATATGAGGAACCCCTGGGTCCCATAGTCGGTTCCCTCATGACTCCCTCCAGCCCGTCCCCCGCCATCATCGCCGAAGGGCCTGTCGGCGTCTCGTCGCGCTATCTCGAAGGCGACGGAGGTGAATCAAGATCACGTTGGCCTTGGAGGCCATCGAGGCAGCCCTGTCGGCGGTCAAGACGCCAGACCGCTCTTTGTGGGCGCCCGGATGCCTCGGGGAGGGGGGCGGCGTAGCGTCGGGGGGCGATCGGTGAGGAGGGTGGCTTTAAGAGTGAGGGGGGGGGGGGGGGGGGGGGGGGGGGGGGGGGGGGGGGGGGGGCGGCGAAGGGTGGACGAGGGGAACATGAGGGAGGGGAGGGGGCGGATGAGGAGGAGGGTGCGACGGACAAGGAGGAGGAGGAGGACGAGGTGGAGGAAGAGGAGGGATGGGGATGATAATGACAAGGAGGAGGAGGAGGAGGAGGAGGATGAGAAGGATACTGCGGAGGAGGAGAGGACGCGGATCAGGATGGCGGGGCGGCGAGGGTCGTCTTGCAGACTCCCCTCATCCTCGCCCTCTCTCCTGATCCGCAGTCCTCTCTCTCCTGTAGGGCCCTCCTGATCCGCATCCTCTCTGCTCCTCATCCTCCTTCTCCTCCTCCTCCTCCTCCTCCTCCTCCTCCTCCTCCTCCTTGACATTCTCACCCCTCCTCCTCCTCCTCCTCCTCCTCCTCCTCGCAGCCCTCTTCCTGGCCTTCCTTCTAGCCATGCTCCTAGTCATCCTCGCGGCCCTCCAAGCCCTCATCCTCCTGCCCTACAACTGCTCGAACGTTCGCCCTCGCCCTCGTATCCGTCATCCTCCATCCGCGCCTGTCCAGCGCGATTTGCATGGCCTCCTTCATGTCGAGGAACCTGCGCTCGAGCTGGGGGCAATTCTGGATGAGCACATGCACCTGGGAAGCGACGAGCGGACATCGGGTGACAAACTCAGACTCTTCCTCCTCCTCCTCCTCCTCCTCATCATCATCCCCCTCCCCATTCCCACTGTGATGCGATATGTGGGCTACCCGCTGCGAACGTTGGACTGTCGACATCGGGTGACAAACTCCTCCTCCTCATCCGTCTCCTCCTCCTCCTCCTCCTCCCTCCCCTATGTGACGTCGGGGTTATCCTCCTCATCCTCGCCATTATTCCGACGCATCCTCGTTACCATCGTCGTGTTGCTCCCTCCGTAACATCCCTCTCCTCCTCCTCCTCCGCATCCGTCTCATCCTCCTTCTCGCTAGTAGCCGTATCCGCATCCTCATCCTCCTCTCCCCCTCCTTCCCTATCCGCATCCTCATCCTCATCCTCATCATCCTCATCTTCACCATCAGCATCATCACCAACACCATCACCAACATCGCCGTCATCTGCATCATTATCATCATCATCGTCATCATCACCATCATCATCATCATCACCATCACCACCGTCATCATCACCATCATCATCATAATCATCATCATTATCAGTATCATCATCATCATCATCATCAGCATCATCATCATCGTCATCCTCATCACCCTCATCATCATCATCATCATCATCATCATCATCATCCGTATCATCATCATCACCACGCCCTAGCGAACGCGTTCGCGTCCCGTGCCACCAGCTCGGAGCAGTCGACGAGGCTCGGGCTGTGGACGGCCTTGTTCTTGTCGAGCGTATTGTAGCGCCCGGCGAGGAAGGCCTGGCGACAGGAGGGGGCTCGGGGCTCGGCGCGGGTGGGGTGGCATCGTCTATGGTTACGCCTGAGACATGCCCACAATCTGACCGAGGGTAATGCCCCCAAACAACCCATCCCCGAATACCAGGGACACTGAACGGGATCGAGGGGGGGGGGGGGGGGGGACGCATTGAGGTCGAGGGGGTTGACGATAGGTAAACCATCCCAATACACGACGACGACGGAGGAGTAGGCGGAGGGAGCGGAAGAGGAGAAGGAAGGAGGAGGAGGGAGAAGAAGACGAATAACACGAGGAGAAGGAGGAGCACGAAGGGTGGAGGAGGAGTAGCAAGGAGAGGAGGACGACGAGGACGACGATTATGACGATCACGATGGCGACGACAGTGCTGCCAATGTCATGTCAACCACCGCCGTCGTCGTCGTCACCACCACCATCATGCTCCCCCTGCCCCTATCGAAGTACACAAGAGGAGGATGGGGATGAGCAGAGCGAAGAGGGGGGGAACAGAGAAGGCCTGGCGGACTCCCACAGCCCCGACGTAGTCCACCAGGGCTTTGCCCAGGGCCGTCACGTCGACATCGGGCGTCGGAACTCGATACGGGACGAACTTCATGGGCTGGAAACTTATTTGATCACCAAAATGGCTCGGGGGAGGCAAACACAGCCATCCCCAGTCCCCTTCCACTGCCAATTCCACGGCCCTCCTTCTTATCTGCATCCTCCTCCTCATCCAGCTCCTCCTTCTACTCCTCCTCCTCCTCCTCCAACTCCAACTCCTGCTCCTCCCCCTCGTCTCCTTCCCCTTCTCCTCCTCCTCCTCCTCGCGCCCCTTGCCCTCCTGATCCTGTTACGTTTCCTTATCATGCCATTATTCTCTGCTTCGCTATCGTCGTCTTGCTCGTCATCCTCCTTATCATCAATGCCGTCGTCACCGTCAACTTCATCGTCGTCGCCCGTCATCTTCCGCTCTTACTGCCTACTCCACCATCCACCCGCACCCCATCTATCAAACGTCGTCACCTCCCAACGCCAACATCATCATTGATGGCGTTGGCGATGGCGATGACCTCCCATCGCCAACGCCATCATTGATGGCGTTGGCGATGGCGACGACGTTGGATGGTCCATCAACGTGGGCGAGTCGCGTTGGTGGTAGCCATTGATGGCGTTGGCGATGGCGTTGGCGATGGCGTTGGCGACGACGTTGATGGCCCATCAACGTCGTCGCCAACGCCATCGCCAACGTCATCGTCAACGTCATCGTCAAGACTCGTTTTCGGTACAGCATCAACGTCGTCACCATCGCCAACGTCAGCAAAACAAAGACGCCAACAAAATCCGCAGACCCGACGTGGGCCCTCTAGGCGCGTGAACTTTTCTACCCCGCGATGTTGCGATCGAGCGTGACAACGACTTCGACTGCGACAGGGGCTACTTCTGACACGCGCTCGAAATTCGAGATTCGATCGCAGCGCGCAATCGACGTCGGAATTTCCAGCGCGGCGCGCGCTGGAAATTTTGAAATTTCCAGCGCGCGCCGACCGAAATGTCCAGCGCGAGATTTCCAGCGCGCTGGAAATTATTTCCAGCGCGAGACCGAACTCAAGAAACCGTTTGTCCGGAGCGCGCTCACGAAATTTTTCTGGTTTTCCGGAATTTCGAGCGCGATCAAACGCGCTGCATTTTTTTGGTGATCGGGGCATCTGGGCAGCCTGGGCGGCGTCCGCCATCGGGCGTCAGCCCCGCGCAGCGCCCGAGGAGAGCCTGGCCCCGCGTAGGCCCCTGGGCGGAGGTGGGGGGCAGTCACGCAGCTCCCCGCCGCAGGGCTGAGGGCGAAGCCGATCACCACCAGCAGCCCGCCGAGCGCCGACCGCGCCGACAGCGGCAGTCAGGCGCAGTCCGGCGAGGCGCTGGCCAGGCAATGGGTGGGCGGCGCAGCGGCGGGCGCCGAGCTGCAGCCGCCGAGGGCGCCGAGGCACGTGTCCAGGTCGAGCTTCAGGCCCGGCGCGTCGCCCGCCGCGGCCACTTCGGCCGCCGAGCTCACAGCGGCACCAGCAGTCGCAGTCCGCCGGAGGCACGTCGAAATCTCTGGAGCAATGGTGGGCCCAGCCTTTGAGAAGGCTGGCAAGACTGAGCCAGTCACCGAGGCTCTGCGTCGGTGGCGGGCTCCTGAGCCACATGACTACAGACGATACAGCTATCGTTGTGCCTCCCAGCTCACTTCTTACTACACAGGTACACGCACCAATATTATCAATCAGAAAAATTGAAAGCAGTTTCGATGGCAGACGGGGGACTAGTTTTCAAAGTGGCGAGCTCGCCTAAGCGCCGCACGCATTTGTCTTAGAAGCGTGCAACATCTTCCGAAATGAAAGGAGGACGGTTTTCAAAATGAGGTCTCGCTCTGGCGCCGCGCACATTGGTCTTAAACGTTTGCACCATGTTCAAGGATGTTAGGGGGTCCTTTTCCAAAAGGCGCTCTCGCCTGGACACTTCGCACATTCGTTTTGAAAACTTGTCGCTGGTTCAAGGCTGGAGGGGGCGTGGCTTTCAAAATGTGCTGTTCGCCTTGGCGCTGCGCATGTTGAAAAATGAAAGGGGGCGTGATTTTCAAGATGGAGCTCGCCGCGCGCATTCGTCTTGAAACAATGCCTTAACGAGCGAGATCCAAGACGGTCCGTTGTCAAACTAGGCAATCGCTGGGGCCTTTCAGGATGAACATTTTCGCTCTCCCAGAGTCTTACAGACAGGTAGAATCTGCACGCGTGGATGGCGCATCCTTTTCAAACTTGTGCTGTTGCTTGAGACCAAGCTCGTGGCCAAAACGCAAAACGTTTGAACCATGTTTGCAAACTTGGGGGGACCATGTTTCAAAACCAGCATATCGCTAGGCACCCCGTTGAAAAGGGAGGGGAGCTTAGCTACCCCCCCTCCTGTGACGCCCCTCTGCCGAAGCCACCCCCCCTTCCCTCCATTTTTCTCCCCCTTGCCGGAAGCTCCCCTCCCATCCCCCTTTCCAACGGGGGAGGAACGGCTTAGCTACCACCCCCCTCCCTTGAACTCCCCCTGCCGGCCGATCCTCCCTCGTCGCCGTCGTCGTTGCCGTCGTCGTTGCCGTCGCCGTCTTTGTATGACCTCGTCGTGGCCGTCACGACGAGGACGAGGTCATACGAAGACGGCGACGGACGACGGTTGACGCACGACCGACGACCGACGACGACGACGACCCAGGGTCAGAGAAAACGAGACCACGACCCAGGGGCTGAGAAAACCAGAAACGAAGCAGGGTCCGAGGACACGAGACCACGGCCAAGGGGCCGAGAAAACGAGAAAACGAGTAAACGAACCAGGGTCCGAAAAAACAAACCAGGGCCCGAGAAAACGAGACCACGACCCAGGGGCAGAGAAAACCGGAAATCAAACCAGGATCAGAGAAAACGAGACCACACCACAGGGGCCGACAAAACGAGACAACGAGAAAACAAACCAGTGCCCAAGAAAACGAAACCACGACCCAGGGACCGAGAAAACGAGACAAGCGAGAACACGACCCAAGGGCCGAGAAAACGAGAAAACGAACCAGGGTCCGAGAAAACGAAACAACAACCCCGGGGCCGAGAAAACCAGAAAACGTGAAACGAACCAGGGCCCGAAAAAACGAGACTACGACCCAGGGGCCGAGAAAACAAGAAAACGAGAAAACAAACCAGCGTCCGAGATAACGAAACCACGACCCAAGGGCCGAGAACACGAGGAAACGAGAAAACGAACCAGGGTCAGAGAAAACAAAACCACGAGAAACGGAGACCACAAGAAACCGAGCCAGGGTCAGAGAAAACGGGACTACGATCCAGGGACCGAGAAAACAAGAAACAAACCAGGGTCAGAGAAAACGAGACCACGACCCAGGGGCCGAGAACACGAGAAAGCAATAAAACACACCAGGGCGCGAGGAAAAATGATAGCACGACCCAGGGGCCGAGAAAACAAAAAAACGCGACCACGAACCAGGGCCCGAGAAAACGACACAAAAACTCAGATGCCGAGAAAATCAGAAAAAGGGAAAACGAACCAGGGTCAGAGAAAACAAAACCACAATCCAGGGGCCGAGAAACGGAGAACACAAGAAACCGAGCCACGAGCAAACGAAAAAACTAAGCAGGGTCCGAGAAAACGAGACCACGACCCAGGGGCCGAGAAAACGCGACAACGAGAAGACGAACCAAGGTCAGAGAAAACGAGACCACGACCCAGGGGCCGAGAACACGAGAAAACAAGACAACGAACCAGAGGCCGAGAAAACGAGAAAACGATAAAAGGAATCAGGGCCCGAGAAAACGAGACTACGAACCAGGGGCCGAGAAAACAAGATAAGAAGAAAACGAACCAGAGGTCGACGTTAATCTCCATTGCGTTCTCTAGCGCTGCGGCGCGCACCTGTCTGCAGGGATTCAGCCATTTTGCCAAGTCCCTGGAAGGGAGGGGGGGGTAGCTTCGGACCCCCCCCCCTTTGCAAAGGAGGGTGGAGGGGGGTAGCTTGAAGCCGCCCGCCCCTGTGTCCATACCAAAAATGAAGGAGGGGGGGGAGGTAGCTTCCGAAGCCCCCCTCCCTTTGAAAGGGAAGCCTGGGCTCACCTTCTGCGCCGGAGAAGGGAGGGAGGGATAGAGAAGGGAAGGGGGGGTGGGGTAGCTTCGGAAGCTCCCCCCCCGCCTTTGGAAGGGAGGGGGGGTAGCTTGAAGCTGGGGCCCCCCTTCCTTATTCCAGGCGCTGCGGGCGCGCTCTTTCACACCTTCTTGTGTTCCATGTAGCTCTCTGGTAGGATACACTGTAGTTCCTTTTCGCAACAGGGCTCTCGCCTGAATGGCGGGCCCATCGAGTGCTTGTCTGTTCAGGGAGCGCCTCGTGCAGTGTGAAAACACTTGCACCTAGGCGCTTGCGAAGAATGGGCTTGCAGCGGGAGAGTGTACTGCAGCATCGTTGATAGTTATTGGGCTTACTCTGGCCCTCCTCCTCTTCCTCCTCGTCCTCCTCTTCCCTTTCCTTTATCGCTTTCGCGAGGAAGACTGCGCGATGGTAAGAAGCTGGTTCCACTGCGCAGCAACCCCCCCGGGGCCTCTCGCCCCCCGGCCGCCCAACTCCTCGCCGCTGTCCTCGTCCTCGGCGCGGCGTGGGGCCAGCCAGGGCGGGGGCATCCCAATCAGCTCAGCCTGTACCTCCTGCGGTCCTCCGTCGGGGCGTAGCCTCCAACCAGACTTAGTACTGATATGCATATGTGAATATGCACACTAGAACCATCGCGCGCTTCGCGCGCGCTCAAGTTCTAGCTAGTCTGGATGGTCTAACTCAGTCATGCCCCGATTCGTTGATACTCCCTCCCTCTGGGACCCCCATGAGCCATCAGGACGGCCCAAGAGGCCCCCAAGACAGCCTAACACACGCCCAAGACGGTGTCAAAGAGGTCTAAGGAGGCCCCGGAGACGATCCGCTGTAGACGGCCTCCAAAGAGCCCAAGAGGCCTCCAAGACGTTCCAAGAGATCCCCTGGCGATCCCAAGAGGCCCTGATTAGGCCAATAACTGTTCAAACCCTATAGGTTTGGGCAGGATTTATCGT